AAACTACGTTCCCCACATTTAAAGAGCTTCCGGCATAGTAGAGTCAAACTTCTCTTTGTCCTTCGCAACACCTAGTAGAAGTCTTACACATAGATGTTCAAAATCAATTCATTCAGCAAATATTTATTGCGTATCTAGCATATGCCAGTAGTGATTGATAGTTGATGCCACACCCCCAGCTAGCTGATTTCTGTAAATGGGTGCTTCTTGGGAATTGCAAATATGGTGAAAAGCATGTGGACATTGCATGTAGCATGTAACTCCAAAATATGAGACTAAAAACTTATTTAATTTTTTTCCCCATCAGGATATCCGTTTTATTCAACAGAAGGCTTTTCGGTACCATCTATGTACCTTGGGTTCCAGATATTTCAAAGGCATAAGGTCCCAGTTCTCAAATAGCTCACATTTTTACAAGAGATGATATATAAACAACAACAAAAAAGCAAAATAATATGCTATGTTTTATAACAGAGCTAAGTAGTAAATTATTTTGTGGGTGGGTCAAAGGAAGGCTTGACAGAGGAGGTGAAATTTGGGTAGTTTGTAGAAATTCTGCTTAAACTTTTAACACTCACTCAGATGCTGGTCAGGGAAGGACAGCACAAGCAGAGGGAGCAGCATATGAAAAAGCCTGAAAGCTTGTTAAACAGCAAGAATCGGTTGTAGATAGTTTATTCAGTCGAGGGAGGGCCTTGAGTCCTGAGGATAGGGGTATAATATGACTAATATGCATTTTACAAGATCATTCTGATGGTTATGTGGTGGATGGAGATTAGAAACCCTTTGGGAGAGTATTTAACTGAGCCAGCAGGAGATCATGAAGGTCTGAGATCACGTAGGAAGGTCTGATTGCCAGGTCTTGGTATCTTGACCATCTTAAGTGATAGATAAAGAAGAAAATATGGGATGACTTGCACATGTAATCTGGGAGATTTCATGGATGACAGAACCATTAACCAGGATAGAAAATATACAGGAGGAAAGTGGGTGATGGAAATAATTTTTCTCCAAACATGTTGGTTTGGAGGTGTCTGTAGAACATATGTTTTTTGCCCAAGAGCTTATTGAATACTTGTTCAGTTGTAATTATCAGGAATGACACAAAAGAAGCATCGTGGCTCAGGAATGAAGAATTCTATTTCTAAATATGCCAGTGATTGCTTCTAAGGCCTTGGAAGTATTTTTTTTTTTTTTGTCTATAATTTTTGGAGTGTGGTGATGGAAATGTACCTCTTAGGGGAGTTGATATAACTGATAGTGAACTAAAGAATAAATAATTGAATATTATAAGGCATTTGAAAAATTGTAGTTGTTAAACATTCTGAGGGCTATAGGAACTGTTTACCGTGATAAATGTTTATAGACCCTAGTTAGGTTCCTAAGATTACTCATACTGATGGCCTTTGAATAACGTTGGCTGCATTGCATGGATTGCCGCCTCTGGTGTGCTATACATAAGCTTTTGTTTTTAGTTTTTGACTTTTCATTACTCAAGTATGATTTTTTACCTGCTTTTGCATTGGAAGGAAAACTTTGTCTTACCGTTAGTGTACAAACCTCTTGTGCTGAGTGTTGTTTATATTTCTACTATAGAAAAACAAAACAGATATTACCTTTAAAACGTTTACTAAAAATGCTTTAGCTAATAAACATGAAAAGAAAAACAGTTGTAAGATATTTGCCATTACTGTGCTGTTTTAGTGTTCTTCATTGAGGCTCCTGTGTTATCAACCCTTTGAGCAGGAAGTAGCATAAGGTTTCTTATGATTGCCACTACTAACATTGTAAAGATCTTTTTCCTTTAATCTATTTAGTACAGGATCTATTTAGTACTGGCCAGTGTCCCAGAATACCATCAGAGATAAGGCTATTATCCTTTCATTGAGTATTATCCTGGGAAAGTATTTATAAAATTGAACTCTTTTGCACCTGCCGACCTCCTTTTTTAAATGAAGAAAGGGTGGGGATGGAGATTATGTTCACTGAATTCAGATGAAGCAGTGTATTTGGCAGCACTGACACAAAGTGCTTTAGTTAGGGCCTTTTATATTGTGCAAATCAATTCCATCTTGTACTCAGAAAGAAATACGTTGACAATTCAGATCAGGAAGCTGATGGTCACATTGGGTGCTCTGCAGTTATTGGCACAGTTGCTGGTTTTTTCATAAGCAATTCTATAATAGGACTCCCAGCTATTTCAGGATTAATCTAAAGTGTTTGCTTGCCATTGCTGTCATGTTTTCTCCAAAATTTCTATGAGTAAAATCTAGTGGCATTATTTTCAAACATGAAAGACAATACTTTTGGAAGAGTTAAGTATTTAATATCCATGCTTAACTTTTTAAAGAAATTGTCATTAAAGTGGAAAAGAATAGTCAAAAACAATTTTTGAAACTTGGTTTCCTACTGAGTCTATTTTAAGCTGAAAAAGCTTGAAGAACACTACCATGTAACTTTCAAGTATCTCTTTTAAAATATTTTTCATTGTCAAATTACTTGAGTTATTCTTTATATAAAATATATGCTACATGTATTTATTTAAGTATGCTATTACGACCCACATATTTAAACATTTAGCAGGTTGTTTGCTGGTTTGGGGCAGCATTGCTGAATTAAATGGTGGTCTATTGCTTTTTGAAAATTAATTCGGTTGATAGGACAAAATATAAATGAAGTAAATTCACTCCCAATTTTGTCATCCCAAGAAATCAAGCTATGTTTGTTTTTCTATATTCCCTTCTAATTCCTTCTCATATGCCCACATCC